CACCTCACTTTAAAAAAACCTAATTGCTTACAAAAGCAGGCTTAAAATATGAAAGTGCTACTATTACTGAAAAAAGCTTACTTTCTCATTTTTACTATGCAATTATAAAATAAATCAATTGGAATATAGATATTGTTCTTACCACTCAGTGCAGATATACAGCATTTTAAACAAGTAATTCTCAGTATGAAATTTTAGTTTGTACTGACTTCACTAGTTCTTTTTATTTAACCTGTTGTAAAACTAGGGAAATATCTAGATGAGTGGACGTACCCTTTGGAAGACCTCAGGGTAACCCCAGGCATATACATACCCCTGTTTGAGAACCATAGTCTTAGAGCGAATTCAATACATTCATTTTACATTGGGTCACAATCATTTGTTGAGTATCAGAGGGGTATCAGTTCCAATCATTTGTTGGAACATCAACCTTCGGTGGGAAATTGCTTAAAATAATTCTGGTTTCCCATGATTAGGATTCTAAATTGTCTTAAACCATAGCAAAACTAAAGGGAAGAACTCAAGCCTCATTGATCATTACATGCATTAAGCTTCAGTGAATATTTTTTTACTGAAGATTCTTCCCTCTGTCCTTGGACCAGCATGATGAAAACCACTGAATGGATTCTACATTCAGTAAGTTCAGGGCAGCTAACAGGGAGTTTCGTGAGGCAGTTCTCCAGGTGAAGAAGGAGCAATTATGGGACCTGTGGGGTAAGTAGCTGTCTGTAGTGTGTGTGTTGGTGTTTGTGGGTATGGCAGATCCCCCATGCTTTATGAAATGGACTTATGCACATAAATATACATAACTCAAAGGTGTTTTCAGCAAATTATTTCATGTAAACTATCAATCTTCATGTCATAATCCGCTGGTTCTGTCTATCTTATTTTGGTGTGTGTATCATTCTTGTGTGTAAAATTAGACATGGGAATACTTCATGGATTTTAAATGTGTGAATGAATGTCATCAAGGCAGGCCTCAGTGTCTAGGCAATCATATGCAAATAGCCTTTTGTCTTTAAGTCTTAGCAGTGGTTGGTAGGGAGCAGCCAGGTGGCTCCCCATTGAATAGGGAATTCTTTAAAAAGAATAGGAAGGTAGGAATCTTTTGTCTTTGGGCTGGCTGGACACACCCAGGGAAAGTGAACCAGAGATTCCAGGGGAAATGGAGATTTCCCTGGTTTGAAGGTGCAGCTGGAACAGAAACAGTTTTAGGGTGAGTTTGTAATAAATTCATCATGGGGATTTAGAGTTAGAATTAGCTAAGCATTTTTGTTACTTTTGATTTCTAATCTACTTTGCTCTGCCTGTTCTCACTTATTACCACTTAAATCCTGCTGCTTGTACTTAATAAAATCACTTTTACTTACTATCTTGCCCAGTGTAAATATTTATTACACGTGGGAGTAATCAGTGTGTACATTCCCCCTTTCATTGTTAAAGGGGGCATACCTAAATCATTCTTTGGGGTTTGATCCCATTTGGGGAGTGGTATCCCAGAAAGCTGAGCCAAAACTGGATCTGAACAGGTTCATCATCTGTACTGCTTCTCAATGGGAGGGGAGAGGGGAAGGCAGTGATCTCAGTTTGTTGCCTTGGCTGGGAGACACCAGCAGGGCTGGGCCAGCAGGACCAAGAGGTGAGACGCCCCAGAGAGTGGGAAGGCGAGTGGCAATAGCCTTGTCAGCACTCCGGAAAGCCCCCCAAAGGGGTTTTCTGTGACCTCACTCCATCACAGGGGATTACTTGCTGGTTGCCTGAAAGATACAGTGTGCTGAGCTTGTGCTTGTCTGTTTATTTCTTTGTTTGGAGATTCATGTGCTGAGCTGTTTGTCTGAAGCACTGTGCGCTGAGGTTGGCGGTTGGAAGCCGTGATGAGGATTTGAAATCTAGAAACCTCTGTTCATTGATCAAGCCTTAACCAGGGGATGGGGCTTTCAGTAAGACCAGGACTATATAAAGACCACGAGTAAGCGACCAGGGAGCTTTGTGAACAGGATCAGCTAACAGGAATTTTTGTCAGTGAGTTTAGAGGGGGAGTTGGAAGGAGTCAAGATACATTTGGCATTCTTCAAAACTTTTAAATTAAACTAAAACCAAAACTACTTGATTTGAATAAAAACCCAATCAATAATCTAATTCTCCGTAGGAGAGAATGCAGGCAGAAGCCCAGCAGCAGAGTGAGGGCTATCCTATTTATTGCAACCAATGTAGCATCTATGATTAGGGGAAAAAATGAAATCCGGGGCCTTTATGGTAGTGTGTTCTGAAATGCTTCCAGTTCCACATGCAGGGCCAGGTAGGCAGGCAGAGCTTTAGAGTCTCAATGCATTGATGAGATGATGGTGTAGAGAGGAGGGATTCAGGTTTATTAGGAACTGGGGCTCCACTTAAACCAAAATGGAACCAGACTGCTGGCATTTAACATTAAAAAGGTCATAAAGCAGTTTTTAAACTTAGGGCTGGGGGAAAACCGATGGGTGCAGAGAAGCACACAGATCAAACAGAGACATCTGTTAGGGGAGGGTCTATTAATAGACATTCTCTATGTTCTAGCCAGAAGGAGAGAATGGAAAATGATATATGGATCAGATCAGATGAGACACAGTCAAATGAAAAAAAAGAGTCTAACACATCAGGAAATGGCAGATAGAGAAAAAGTGACACATTTTTGAAGTGCTTATACACAAACTCTAGAAGTCTAAAAAATAAGATGGGTGAACTACAGTGCTTCGTATTAAAGGACAATATTGATATAACAGGCATCACAGAAACTTGGTGGACTGCAGAAAATCAATGGGACACAACAGGTCCTGCTGGTGGGTGAATGGAACTATATGGGAAAGAAAATGAAGAATCAAATTCAGTAAAAACGTTAAATGAACCAAAATGTTCCATAGAATCTTTGTGGATAGTAATTCAATGCTCCAATAATAAAAATATAGCAGTAGGGATATATTATCGACCATCTGACCAGGACAATGATAGTGACTATGAAATGCTAAAGGAGATTAGAGAGTCTATCAAAATAAAAAACTCAGTAATAGTGGGGGATTTCAACTATCCTCATATTGACTGGGTACACATCCCCTCAGGACGGGATGTAAAGATAAAATTTCTTGATACCTTAAATGACTGCTTCTTGGAGCAGCTGGTTCTGGAACCTACAAGGAGAGAGGCTATTCTTGATTTAGTCCTTAGCAGAGCACAGGATCTGGTTCAAAAGGTAAATATAACTGGACTTCTTGGAAATAGTGACCTTAAAGTTGTAAAATTTAACATCCTAGTGCAGGGGAAAACACATCAGCAGTCTAACACTGTGGCATTTAATCTCAGAAAGGTAAACTACACAAAAGTGAGGAGGTTAGTTAAAAAGAAACTAAAAGACACAGTGACAAATGTAAAATCTCTGCAAGCTGCATGAAAACTTTTCAAAAACAACATAATGGAAATCCAACTTAAATGTATACCCCAAATTAAAAAATAGAGTCAGAGAACCAAAAAAGTGCCACAATGACTTGACTTAATGAAGTAAAAGAAGCAGTGACAGATAAAAAGACATCATTTAAAAAGTGGAAGTCAAATCCAGGTGAGGAAAATAGAAAGGAGCATAAAATCTGTGAAGTGAAAAGCCAAAAGGGAGTTTGAAGAACAGCTAGCCAACTCCCTCCAAAGTAATAGCAAAATGTTTTTTAAGTAAATCAGAAGCAGGAAGCCTCCTAAACAACCAGTGGTGCCCTTGGACAATCAAGTTGCTGAAGGAGCCCTCAAAGACTATAATGTCACTGCAGTTAAACTAAGTGAATTCTTTGCTTCAGTCTTCACGAGGCATACCGGAGTGGTAGACAAAGGCTTCCCTTGTCGACTGCGCCATGTCTAGACTGCCGCGCTGTATCGGATCAGCTGATCATCAGCACAGTGCGGTGGCCATTTTTATTTTAATGAAGTGGGGATTATTTAAATCCCCGCTTCATTGACTATGCTGGGTAAACTAGTTTATATGGCTCCGTCGATGGAGCCATGTAGTCTAGACATATCAACAGTGATTACACTACAATAGAAAAATTGGCCCTTGCTGTATTATATAGACCTCTACTACCATTCTACAAACAGGAATGAAAAATTAGAGGCAAATTCTTTCCTCACGTGCACATATTTTACATTAGTATAATCTCATTGATCTCAATGGAATTACTCTTGATTTCTACTACTATAGGAAAATGATGCCAAATTAGTTCATTCCTGGATGCCTTTTATTTCCTGTCAACATATAGGGTGTGTGTAGACTACAGGGTTTTGTCAACAAAAGTGGACTTTTGTTGACAAAAGTATACCTGCGTCTACACTACCGCCGAGTTCTGTCAACACAACGTCAACAGAACTAAGTAGTTTTGTCGATGGCGGTAAACCTCATTCTAGGAGGAATAACTCCTTTTGTCGACAGAGTTCTGTCGACAGAAGGCATTATTGCATCTACACTGTCCTTTGTGTCTACACTCTCATGTCGACAAAGCGGCTTGCTTTGTCAACAGAACTGGATGTAGTCTAGACGCTCTTTGTTGACAGAAGCTTTGTCGATAGTATCTGTCGTCTAGACATACCCATATATAAAGAAACCAGAACTTTGAATCTGTACCCCTTTGAACATTAGCAGATATTTAGATTCAGAATCTGGCCCAGGTTAGTGCTTCTGGTGTTGGTTCCAGGTCAGATTTAAAATTTAAAAGGACCTATATCTGGGTACAGACATAGCTGAAGTTTCATGAAGAGGGTTCATGTAATTCTGACAACATTGAATCCAAACCCAAATATTGGCATTGACATAGCCACAAATGCCAAATCCCATCTACATTGGACCTAGAACACAGCTTCCAGAGCCCACATTTAGGTAACAGTGCAGCTTTTAAGCCCATTACTTTCTGAAAAATAACTTTAAAAATGGTACTTTGAAGCTCAGAGGTGATTGAACACATTTATAGAAACAAATAGCAAGTACTTACACATAACCTTTGAATTTATTGAGATCATTATTTGGCTTTTCACAGACTATCGTGTTTTGGAAAATTTCTGGATCAAATGGAGTGTTCTACAAAAGAAAATGCATTGGGAATTAAGTCAAATAATAACGTTTAAAATGCAACAATCAGAACACCTCACTGCAGTCATAACTAGCTTAGAGATAGTCTGAGTTTTATGGAACTATAGATTTAATCTGACAAAGCACTTAAGCATGTGCACAAGATAAATTCCATACTAAGAATGAAGAATATGTAGATTTATTGTTCCTGTCTGCAACTAGTAGTGGTTGTAGTTTACCATCATTTAAAGGATACGACAGATTCTTCCTGTTTCTTCCTTATCTGCCAGTTACTTTAAGAGGAGTGAAATCTAAACTGGGAAGAGGTAGTATTGCTATTCATATTAAGACACATAAAACAAAATACCGCCCTCCTCCCCACATGTTATGAGCTAATAATGTTGGAGAAAAAATGGAAGGGGAAAATGCAGACATTCTCTACCCTTTTCATCAACATTTAGAAGTGTTCAAAATTTCCTAACTGACTTGGCAATTTCTAGCAATATATTTGAAAAATCTAATTGAATTAAGTTTAAGTATCTTTGAAGTCCTTCATCCTAAAAGCAAAGTTTATGTACTATTTTGGGCTAAGATTGTATGTAACCTCGCTGGGTCAGAAGGAAAGAAGATGTGATTTAAGGCCTGGCTGGACAAAATGGAATAACATGCAAGATAAGAATGGACTTTTGTGAAAACACTTACAAAGTGGATTTCCTGGGAAATACCTAAGGGAGGTCAGTACAAGTTCTCCACCTCCAGTGGGTCTCCTAGAAGGACCATGAGGTAGATTTGCCCTGAACTGTAACAATGATGATATTCTGTTTCCTCATAGCATCAGTTATGCCAGTGGTACTCAACCTTTTTTTAATTCGTGATCCCCAGAGCTGGGAAAATTTTGGTTGAGGCCCCTTTAATTTAAAATGTCAGTCTGCTTCCCTGCCACTTGCTAAGCCAGGAAAACAATTGAGACCCCCCAGTTGCACACAGCTGAGTTATGCTACAAGTAACCTCTTTTTAAATATAATAAAATAAACATATTCTTTCATTTGCAAAGAGAACTAGCTATAATTTTGGACTGTTGTAATCAATTGAGTATATAGTCTTAAGAATGCAAACTAATAGTAGGGTGCAAATCTATTAAGTGGAAATTTTAATTAGAACCAATCTTTTAAACAGTGAAACAGACAAATAAAACTGTTAGATTAATAGAAGATTGTATTAATTGAAGCATTAGGAGATGAACTGAAACCACAGATCTTCTCATATTGAAAATGGTAGGGAGAATTCAGAATATGCAGCAGCTAGATCAGGGCTGGGCAAAATCAAGCCCAGGGATTAGATCCGGCCCACCAAGCATTTCTCTCTCTGGCCTGCCCAGATGATTAACAGAGTGTGCATACTCAGCCAGCAACATGTGTTCACCTGCCCCTTCCAAAACCTTGCTCCATCCTGCTGTGAAACTGCTCCCAGGATTCTCCTGCTAGCTGTGCAGAGCAGGGGAGGTGAGTATGGAGGGGAGAGAGAAGTGCTGAAGTCAAGGTGTCCCCCACCCCTGTATCCCATCTCTGTAGAGCAGGAACTGGGGACAGAGATACACACAGCGGGGCTGCTCCAGTCTCAAGCATGGATGGAAAGTGACTCAGAGCAGTGCAGCGCAAGGGAAGGGAGAAACAACAGAATAGGACAGATTTCCCTTAAAGAGACAGAGCGTGTCTTCTCTCAGAAACTTACCCAGCAGCAGCCAGCACAAACTCTCTGTGTCATTGACATACACCCCCAGCCTGTGTGGGGTATGGGGGGGGTGGTCTGTGACAAACACTGTCACATCCACACTTACACACACAATTTGTATAATAAAGTCTGTCTCTCACACAAGAAGTGTCTGTCTTTCACACTCACGCAACTCTCTTTTTCTCTCTCTAGTCCCCAGCTTCACCCCTCCTGCCCAAGTTAACCCACAACTAGGTACCAAAATTTGTGAAGTGGCCACCCTGTGAAAATTATTGCCCACCTCAAGCTAGATAATAGCTAACACACAATGTAGTATATTATCTACCTCAGAGGTGAGCAATAATTTTTGAAGGGGTGGCCATTTTGGAAGTGGTTACAAGCCACCCCAGCTGGGGTGGGGCAGGGCCTTTACAGAGAAACAAGTGAAAGGGCTCGTGCCACCTCTGTGGATCCTAGGCAATGTGTTAGTGGTGGGGCCGGGAGCTGCAAGCCCTTTCAACTCCTTCTATTTTAGCAGGTGGGGAAGGCAAGCCCTTTACATGGAAGCAGTTGAAAGAGCTCACAGCTCCAAGCCCTGCTGCTAACACATTGCCTACGAGCTGCGGGGGAGATGTGAGCCCTTTAAATAGAAGTAGTTGAAAGGGCTCATGTGTCCCTGGCTCCCTGTCACCACTCAGCCATCAGCCCGGCTGCACTTGCCGCAGGCTGCCATCCGGGGAGGGGGTCAATCAGGGGGCTGCAGGAGAGCTTCCACCACGAGGAGCCCGCAGAGCCACCCCAGTCTTCCTCATCGGGGGCTCGTACCCCATTCCTCCCTCACCTCCTTCCACTTACCCTTCCCTAGCTCCCTTCCTGATGTACAAAATAAAGGACACGTGTGTTCAAAAATAGAAACCTCTTTATTGAACAAAACTCGGGGAGCCTGGGAAAAGAAGGTGGGAGAGGGAA